TATATTACACTTTATAGAAATTTTATTCATCCTACAAAATAATATGACATATTACATTAGACATATTTTGATATAAGACAAGTAGGACTTAACGGTAAATTATCTCTTGGCAAAACTGAAATTAGCCAAATGATATTTTCAAGCAATGCTTAAGAAAGCCAGCTGGAGACACTCACGCGCCTACTCTCAGCTCAACACTGTCAGCTGGAGACAGACTCTTAGGTCTATTCACAGCTCAACATTGTCAGCTTGAGACAGACTCGTAGGGTTACTCACAGCTCTGCACTGTCAGCTGGAGATAGACTCTCAGGTCTACTTACAGCTCGACACTGTCAGCTGGAGACAGACTCGTAGGTCTACTCACAGCTCAACACTGTCAGGAACACACTGATAAGGGCCACACGAAAGACTCGCCCTGGGCGACTTCTCTCGTCTCGTGACTCAACTCACTAAACAGCCAAAAAGTGTCGGCTTTTGTCACCAGTCGGAGACAATCTGAAGATTTTTCACTCGACTCTGTAACATTTCCGGCCTGTGGGTAAAGGTGGTCTTGGGACGTAGTTGCTCCACGTACTGTGTCATCTGATACTCATCAAAATGACGCACGTTGGAGCCCTGATGCCCGGAGACCAAATGCCATGTTGTGGGGACCTAAAACAACCTGATAGCTGCCGTATCTCCTCTACGGGGCCTCCGTCAGGACTACTCCGTGCGGGTACAGCACGACGGAAATAGGTATTACACCAGCGAAACATGAGTTTCTCCTGGAGAGTTTTAGACTCCGCCCAGGAAGGCAGGACCTACACCTCCGTAGAGATTCTCTAAGCCGGGTGTGAAGACGAGGTTGGGGTCTGGGTTAATGTTTCCACCACTCCGCCCTCCACGACGACCGCTACGATTACGTCTACCAAAGGAGGGTGCAGCCTCGGCCAATGTGGCAAAGGAGATCGCCACTACCAGGAACATTACCACGGCACGGAAGAAGTTCATCTTGGACTGATGTACTGTACTGGGATGACACTAACACTGAAAAAACAAAAACAATTTGGTTTATGGTAACTTGAATTATATGGTAATGTATTATAAAGACATTTGTGTGGAAGACTTAGCCTTATTGGAGACAGACATTATGGAGAGGATTAATGATCAAACAGTAGTAAGTCAAGTTTTGCTAGAGTACCTTGATTAAAGTAATAGTGAGGCAGGATCACCGATCAGTTGGCTGAGAGTGTGTGCCAGACCCAACTCACCACCTGTTTATATACCCCAGCATGAACAACTGCCAGGTGTCACTAGCTTGGGTATTAATATGCCAAGGCCACACCACCTTGCCAGCGATGGCTGATATATTTTTTGTCATGAAATATATATTCCTTTTGTCTTTGGTAGCCATGACTGGACACTATAGTCACAGCCGTCCGAAGGGGGATGCGGGTCCCGCGGCAAGTACATCGTAGAGAGGCTCCCTTTAGACCCTTTGTCTCATATATATATATATATATATATATATTTATATATATATACTTCATTTTTAGTCCATATAACACGCGGACTTTGAACATATAATGAACGACCTCACCAGCCAGGAATCGAACCCTCGACCTAATGGGAGGGACTAGGGAACGCTATCGACCAACCCACAAAGTGTCTTTGTGGGTTGGTCGATAGGGTTCCCTAGTCCCTCCCATTAGGTCGAGGGTTCGATTCCTGGCTGGTGAGGTCGTTGATTATATATATATGTATGTATGCAATCGTGAAATTAAACAAAATATCCTGTTTTATTTTAATAATACTAAAAATAAAGTAATGGATACAGGCAGTAAATTTACAGCATTTTAACACAAAATATGGAAGAAAGGAAAGATCTGCGGTCTCTAGATTGTCATAGAAATTATGAAAATATTTAAAATGAGATTCGGAAATACACATGAAAACCATAAAATGTAAGAACTGGCGATATTATTACATGTATATATACGGAAAATGAAATATTATTTTAATTGGATTTATAACATAACAAGACAAATGCCAAACGGCAGTCTGGATGTAATGACAAAATTCATGGTAAAATAAATAATAACTAAAAATTAATATAATCTACTATGACTTCTCATAAAGCATTTGCGAAGTAGCAGAAAGAGCCTACTTTCAAAATTAACTTCCCTTGCTTTCTTTCCAGCAAACTTTTCTACCAGTTCATTATGCGCACAAACTTGCTGCCAGTACCTTTTCGATGAAGAGCACAGCCAATCCACTCAACCTTTCTTGAGACACAGTTGTCCTCAGGTAACTTTATATCAATTTGAGTTTAGAAAAACTTCGCTCCCCTGATGCCTCTGTGACTGTGACTGTCAACAAATCCAAGATACTATTTCTGCATTAAGAAAGGAACCGTGGAAAATTTTAGAAATTGAAAGACTTAAAGATCATTTTTTGTTTCTTTGGGATTGAGTTCTCGGAGTAATGATCTCGAAGCTCTGAAAACAACGCGGCTTCGTCAATATCGTGAGAAATTCCAATACTCAATAACTTGTCGAAAGCAGAGTTGTGCTCAGCGAAGTACAGCACATCTGCTATAATACTTGTTAGAACCGATAGCCAACGTTCCTTTCTTTATTCAAGTCTTGTAACATTCGTATATATTGAAGACAACCTTTTCACTTCCATCTATTAGGTTAAGGTTCAACAAATGTCCATTTGATGAATCGCGAGATTTTAGTCTTTTACTAATATATTTCCAATCAGCACAGACTTCTTTTACTAATTTATGTGTTGCTGTTGACCTGAATAATTACTAACCAGGAGAGAAAGAGCCCTGCTCGCCTCACCCCCTCCTCCTGGAACGGCACTGGCAAGGCAAGAGGGGCACTTTCGTGCCAGGTCAATGAAAAGTGCCTAAAATGATTTAGAAGACGTAGATGAAGGGATCCATTTTATATTAAATTGTCACCTTTTTTATTATTAGTTAGGAGGACGCATGTATATTTCGCCGTGTTGTTTCTTAAATATGTGTCCAGGAGTTGCAGCAGATCACAGCAGTTAAACCAACGTAAATAATTTTATAAATCTCTTAAGGGAACATTTTTGTGGTCAGTTAAGTCATAATACGTGTGGCACCATGGCTACAGGAGTGACCAGGTGTCCTTCAGGGGACAGGGTGCGTACAACAACAACACCTTGCAGGGGATGTAAAGGGGTGCTCAATAAACTATCCCCCGCCCTGTGTGTGTCAAATCTGACTTGTCTGTGGACCTGCTCCTTGGGATATTTTAACATCATCTTAAGATTATTTTGTCACACACACACACACACACACACACACACACACACACACACACACACACACCATTATCATCATTATCACCTTGTATCATTCCACTGCTAAATGACGTTTTCACCAACTTCAGTACAGAGTCAGTCATGCTCACTGAGTCCCTGTATATATTTTTTATTCCATATAATTATTTAGCGAGTAGTCGATCTTTCAGAGTAGTTTGTTAGCTCGTAGAATCTAGCTGAGGGTCTCCTTAGTCCACTATTGTCTTGTTGTTGTTGTTGACTTAGGGCTCACCATTTATAATACCTATTCATCAGCCCTTACAATAATATGCTTTAAATTATCACCGATTCTTTCATTTCTCTGTATCTTCCTTTCTTTCTTAATCTGCATCTTTACCTACTTCTTCGAGTAGCTTGAATTGTCTTGTTTCATCTTCATGTTTAACTGACACGCTTCACAGGGTAGTACGCTTTGGTCTCAACCTCTTATTTTTATATATCCCATTTCCATCCATTTTTTCAACTAATTAATACTACCCATACACGTCATTCACCTTGTGTAGGACGTGGTGTGGTGGTTTGAATGGAAAAGAGGAAAATATAATAAGGCAGAATTAGATGGAATCACCGTTGAAATGTGAAGAATGGGAGAAGGAAGTGATGGAATGGGTGACAAGTGTTGAGGCTGTATGAGAGAGGGAACAGCACCAGAGAAATGACAAGAGGGAGAGTGTGTGTGTGTGTAAGATCAATAAATACAAAGGTTTTATTATCAGTCTTACTGTTATAACACAGTCATAACCTCTCGGTCCCTCCGGCATAATAGCGGTGACTTCTATGTTCGATATTAATGGGGAAATCCTGACTACCCATAAACGATCAAGTAGATACATGCAGTCCCGGATTATCCATTAGGCACAGTAGGCACAGTGCCTAGGGCCTACGAAAAATAAAACGAGAACTTTTCTTCCCCCTTTTCTACAGGTCATTATTAAATTGATACTGAGGTACTTTTTTCCATTTATTTATTACTTAATCCTATTAGTGTCCACCAGCAAGCTGTGCTTCTTGTAAACAAAACTATTTCTGTACTGTACAAGAACAGCTGATCTGACCCATTTTCTTTTACTCAATTCATGGCAAACATCACTGAATCTTATTCTTTCGACATCACATTTTATAATTAGGTACTAGCTTGTGTTATTAGTGAATATGCTGTCAAATGGGGCCCCATATCTTGGAGGTGCCTAAGGCCTACGAAAGTCTTAACCCGTCACTGGATACATGAATACCTTCCTGCATACACTAACATCACCTCACCGCACCTCACCTACTTTAGATATAATTTAACTATCTTATGATGGTAGACGACGTCTTGGATAAAAAAGGAGCAAATTTTATCATATTTGAATTCATTTCTATTAAGTTACTCCTATGTGACAATACAGTCAGTTACCATCATTTAGCGGTGACGAACACACACACACACACACACACACACACACACAAGCGGGTATCCTCAGTTGTTCTCTTACTATGGGGTTATATTTAAGTTATGAAAAAGGATGAATTAAGATTGTCTATGCAACAGCTCGTGTAAAGATCATAGATACATAATCTCACTCGAGTACAATCCTAAAGTTTTCAATTGGTATAACTCTGTATATCAGTATCAATACGGTATAATTACTTGCACTTGGAAGATCAATGAATGTATTATATTACACTTTATAGAAATTTTATTCATCCTACAAAATAATATGACATATTACATTAGACATATTTTGATATAAGACAAGTAGGACTTAACGGTAAATTATCTCTTGGCAAAACTGAAATTAGCCAAATGATATTTTCAAGCAATGCTTAAGAAAGCCAGCTGGAGACACTCACGCGCCTACTCTCAGCTCAACACTGTCAGCTGGAGACAGACTCTTAGGTCTATTCACAGCTCAACATTGTCAGCTTGAGACAGACTCGTAGGGTTACTCACAGCTCTGCACTGTCAGCTGGAGATAGACTCTCAGGTCTACTTACAGCTCGACACTGTCAGCTGGAGACAGACTCGTAGGTCTACTCACAGCTCAACACTGTCAGGAACACACTGATAAGGGCCACACGAAAGACTCGCACTGGGCGACTTCTCTCGTCTCGTGACTCAACTCACTAAACAGCCAAAAAGTGTCGGCTTTTGTCACCAGTCGGAGACAATCTGAAGATTTTTCACTCGACTCTGTAACATTTCCGGCCTGTGGGTAAAGGTGGTCTTGGGACGTAGTTGCTCCACGTACTGTGTCATCTGATACTCATCAAAATGACGCACGTTGGAGCCCTGATGCCCGGAGACCAAATGCCATGTTGTGGGGACCTAAAACAACCTGATAGCTGCCGTGTCTCCTCTACGGGGCCTCCGTCAGGACTACTCCGTGCGGCTACAGCACGACGGAAATGTGTATTACACCAGCGAAACATGAGTTTCTCCTGGAGAGTTTTAGACTCCGCCCAGGAAGGCAGGACCTACACCTCCGTAGAGATTCCCTAAGCCGGGTGTGAAGACGAGGTAGGGGTCTGGGTTAATGTTCCCGCCACGACGCCCTCCACGACGACCACCACCACGCCCGCCACGACCACGTTTACCAAAGAAAGGTGCAGCCTCGGCCAATGTGGCAAAGGAGATCGCCACTACCAGGAACATTACCACGGCACGGAAGAAGTTCATGTTGGACTGATGTACTGTACTGGGATGACACTAACACTGAAAAAACAAAACAATTTGGTTAATGTAACTTGAATTATATGGTAATGTATTATAAAGACATTTGTGTGGAAGACTTAGCCTTATTGGAGACAGACATTATGGAGAGGATTAATGATCAAACAGTAGTAAGTCAAGTTTTGCTAGAGTACCTTGATTAAAGTAATAGTGAGGCAGGATCACCGATCAGTTGGCTGAGAGTGTGTGCCAGACCCAACTCACCACCTGTTTATATACCCCAGCATGAACAACTGCCAGGTGTCACTAGCTTGGGTATTAATATGCCAAGGCCACACCACGATAATTATAAACAATTTTATCAGAATTTTTTTATTCGATTAATGTGTGTTTTGGATGATCTTATTTACTTCGAATTCGCATATTTTTTCTCGTGGAGTGATATTTTAAAGAGTATATGAAAAAGTAGAAATAATCATCATGTAGTAAATTTTATTATTATTATTATTTTTATTATTATTATTATTATTATTATTATTATTATTATTATTATTATTATTATTATTATTATTATTATCATTGTTAGTGTATTTTTTTTTTGCACGTGAACAGGTGGTCGTACATCTGGCAGTGTGTGATGTAAGTTGCTTCCTGGTAGTGACCGTCAAGCGCGGACACCTTCCTCCTACCCTGGCCTCCGTTAATGCTCTTCCGGTAATTGGAAATATTAAAGTATTCATCGTGTTACACTTGAGTCTCTGTGAAGGGATTCCATTTAGCCACCCATTGTTGTCGCGTTACTCTTATGTTTACTTGTTTGATGCCTGAACCCTCTCTCACCTCACCCACCAACTCATGTACTGTACTTGGGAACTCTCCTCTGGACGTTATATACAGTACATTAGGATATTTGGATGATTTTATGGTTCTTATACACTTTAGAATTCACCTACTCATCATATTGATATGACTGATAGAATCTGTTAACGACCTAATGAGAAGGGAATGATACAAATATTTTTATCAAAGCACAAAACAAATGTCTAAACTTCATGATGTTCACCCGTATATGCAAGGCTCAAAGACCGACTTCGTAAACCGAGAGAAAAAACATCCACAGAGCGATGTACATATTTTCAAAGTAACCAGAAATCGAAATTTTTGCGTTGTGGATTTTTCCCACAACGCGTATTTAGATGGTCTCAAAATTCCTCTTACCTAACCTAACCTAAACTGATCTAACCAAACCTAATCTAATCCAACTCCAACTAACCTAAATAATCCTAATTTAGCCTAACCTAAATTAATCTTATCTAACATAATCTATAACGAAATTTAATTTTTTTAGTTATTTTGAAAATGTCCACAACGCGTTACTTATATGATACAACGTTTATTCCCGTGTTGTACTCTACAGTGTGTTACAGTATAGTGTGTTACAATACAGTGTTACAGTACAGTATGCAAAATTAGCCACCATTCATAGAAAAATCTGGAAAATATTGGTAAAAATTTCCTTGTCAGGGAAAATTTATGTAGTTTTTACAGTGGCAAGAATATGGAGAGATGTCACGTTGTATATGGTAAGGTTAGATTAGATTAAGTTAGGATAGGTTAGGTTAGATTAGATAAGATTGAGTTAGGTTAGATTAGATTAGGTTAGGTTAGGTTAGGTTGGGCGCTGTGAATAAGAACAAGAAAAGCAACGTACTTCAAAATTACTAAACTCTATAATTTTTTTTCTCTTTCTTATCGCTTGTAAGAACTTGCAGAATAGATATAAAGTGCTGTTAAATATGTTATGACCCTGAAATAAAGATAGCTGTACTGTAAGCCTGATCAGCGCCTCTATTTCCTCCCCAGAGAGCGAGCCCATCTGACCAGCCTGAGCAGGAAGTAGGACAGGATCTGCTACACGCCCATGACTGGACCACTGTGAGTAGGTTTTGATCTGTTACAAGACTATTCCTTTTGTTTACAATATAATTCAGTGTATCTGGATATATCATTACTACACAGATACCATCCCCCCGAAGGCGATCATTCCTCATAAACTGTACCCAAAATACCCTCTCCACTAGAGGTTCCCAAGCATTTTCTAGTACGGCCCCATCTAGTGCTGTCGCCTATCCAGTGCTATCCCAAGCCATTATACAGTATATGGCTCCACCGAAAAGTGGAGACAGCCCCTTGGAAGCGTACGGCTTAGCGTCGGTCACTAAGGAAGTCTGTAAGCCATTGTATAAAACTTCTCCGAATGCCTTGGTGAAATCAATGAAGGCGACAGCCACAGACGTCTTGCGTTTTTCCAAATGGCGGTATATGTAGTCGAGAAAACAGACAAGACAGTGAGTAGCAGAGGAAGTTTTTGTATTGCCAAATTGCTGAGGATCTGTGGCGTCTGCAATATCAGCATAAACCCAGTCAAAAATGAAACTTCTGCAGATTAAGCTGGGTATTGGGGGTGGTGGCAATGGGTTGTAGCTCATTTAATGATTATGGGCTTGTTGACTTGGTCACTCGTGATACCAATGAGGCCTTCCATTCAGCTGCAGGGAGCATCTTGCTTGACTGAGGGAAGAGTTGATGATGGAGCAGAGGAGTTAACTAGCTAGTTCCGGGGAGAACTCCCTGTAGAGTTTCATTGGTAAGTCGATAGGGTTGGCGAAGTGCTTGATCATCAGTTTGTCCAAACGTTTTGCTACTTCATATTCTTCCACTAAGTCAGTGGGAAAGAGGGCTGGTAGGTAAGCATGGAGACTGGTTGTGTCAGTCCGAGGAAGCGTCTAGCATATAGTTGTGAAATGGTTGTTAGAATGATCAGCTGCGTCACCAGTAGTGAGATGTCTTATTGTTAAGATAATCCACAGAGTTCTTTAAGCTTACCATACCACTGACTGATGTTGGTCTACTTGAGGTGTTACAGCTTGGTTGGGTAGTAAGACTTCTTTGCAGTGCGTATTTCACGGATGATTTGGTTGCGAAGGGACCTGTGGGGGTTGTTATCATCGAGATAAAGGGCGCTGTTTTTCTGCTGCATAAATCTTATAATCCGAGGTGTGATCCACGGCAAGTGTGTGTGTGTGTGTGTGCGTGTGTTGTAGTGAATTTATCTTGCGTGTTAATGCATTCTCTTGTGCTGTAGTGCATTCTCTTGTGTTTTAATGCATTATCTTGTGTTTTAGTGCATTCTCTTGTGTTTTAGTGCATTCTCTTGTGTTTTATTGCATTCTCTTGTGTTTTGTTGCATTCTCTTGTGTTTAGTGCATTATCTTGTGTTTTAGTACATTCTTTTGTGTTTTAGTGCGTTCTCTTATGTTTTAGCACATACTCTTGCATTTTAATGCATTCATTTGTGTTTTAGTGCATTCTCTTATGTGTTAGTGCATTCTCTTGTGTTTTAGTTCATTCTTTTGTGTTTTAGTGCATTCTTTTGTGTTTTGTTGCATTCTCTTGTGTTTAGTGCATTCTCTTGTGTTTTAGTACATTCTTTTGTGTTTTAGTGCGTTCTCTTATGTTTTAGCACATACTCTTGCATTTTAATGCATTCTTTTGTGTTTTAGTGTATTCTTTTGTTTTAGTAAATTATTTTGTGTTTTAGTGCATTCTCTTATGTTTTAGTGCATTCTCTTGTGTTTTAGTTCATTCTTTTGTGTTTTAGTGCATTCTTTTGTGTTTAGTGCATTCTCTTATGTTTTAGTGCATTCTCTTGTGTTTTAGTTCATTCTTTTGTGTTTTAGTGCATTCTTTTGTGTTTAGTGCATTCTCTTATGTTTTAGTGCACTCTCTTGTGTTTTAGTGCATTCTCTTGTGTTTTATTGTATTCTCTTGTGTTAAGTTGCATTCTCTTGTGTTTAGTGCATTCTCTTGTGTTTAGTGCATACTCTTGTGGTTTAGTGCATTGTCTTGTGTTTCGTGCATTCTCTTGTGTTTTAGTGCATTTCCTCATGCCTTTATGCGGCAGAATGGGCTCCACAGTGTATCGGTCGATCATTTGGAGACTGACGTTGTAGAGATGTTTAAGTTGTTATTATTATTATTATTATTATTATTATTATTATTATTATTATTATTATTATTATTATTATTAATATTTTTATTATTATTATTATTATTATTATTATTACAGTGGATCACCGTAAGATTAGCCCCCGTTTATTTCACCAGAAGATTAACCAACCTAACACTGCCTGGGGAACGTTTGATTAGGTTAAATTAATGTTAGAATTAAGTTGGTTAATGTTTAGGTGATCCAAGACTCATTAGTGTTGACGATAGGATCTGGCCACCTATTGCACTGTTTTAGGTCATGTCTATAAATATTGAACTGTAAAACTCTCGCCGCACTTTGATCTTGCCTTTCAGTCTCATACTGTGTCACAGGTTAAAGAAGAATATTGTATTAATAATAATTCAAATAATGTGCATATTGACTCCAGTGTGTGTGTGTGTGTGTGTGTGTGTGTGTGTGTGTGTGTATGTGTGTGTGTCGGGTTATCAGAGATCATCTGTGGTTTAGAATATTATGATGTTTTTCCTACACTGTTGATTCTTGGCCGAAATATCATACATTTTAAGGTTTAATATATGTCAGCTCGGTCTGTGTTTTCTCTTCTGAACTTTGATGTAAAAAGATAATATGTTAATTTTGTTTTTGTTTGTTTTTGTTTCACGTGTCTTATTTTCTTAGTACTGACACTTGGTTATTTAATTTGTTTTGTTTTTTGTTTTAATTTATCTTATTACTTTTCTATTGAGTAATGTTGTCATTACCTGAACATCTAGAAATTGTTACACGTAATTTGCCTTGACGTCTTCCGTGTGTGTGTGTATGTGTGTGTGTGTGTGTGTGTGTGTGTGTGTAATAATAATAATAATAATAATAACAATAATAATTAACGGTTTATTGAAAGAACATGGCAGCCGGAAGGCTGAAAATTTACAGTTGCATAATTTGGGAATGGGTCACTTGATTGACAAATAATATACAAGTAGCATAAGTGATACAAATATGATATATAATAACTAGGTGGGGAGAAGGTCATACTACAGGGCATTTCAACATAGTGACAGTGCAAAAAAGTAATATTGACTGGGAGTGAATACACTGGTTGATTACAAGTTGTTGATAATTTTTGCAATGGTTAGGACTGGGCTGTTCTTATAGCGATCAGTACGTGCTTATATGGGCTGGATGCGGTTGTGGTGTCGAACAGCAATTTGCGGACGAGGGATCTCAGGTGGTAGTAGTAGCCGGTGTCGAGGATGGTGCAGAGG